TATCTATCCATCTATCTATCTATCCATCTCTCTATGTTCTATCTATCTATCTATCTATCTATCCATCTCTCTATCTATCTATCTCTCTATGTTCTATCTATCTATATCTATCCATCTAAATCTCTCTCTCTCTGTCGTCCATCTATTGTTGTAATTACACCCTCCCACCAGCAGGGGTCACGGTTGTATCCAAACATCCGTGCGTGGATTTAAACTTCCGCCGGAAGTCTGGTCGTCCTCTTCTACCAGGCCGATCCAACATGGTGGGTAAATGTTTCATGTCTTCCTGTGCTATCGGTCATAATCCTGGTGTTTTAACGGTTCTTATTCCCCGGTAACGTCCTCGGTGGACACCGGGCAGTGAGTTGAACCGGGCCGCGGCTGTATTGACGTTAGATGATCCGCACAGAGCGTTTAATTTTCGGTGTAGTGACGGAGGAGGCGGAGCGGAGCCGTCTTCCAGCTGAATGGGCCCCGGTGTCCCGTCTCCGTTTACCGGCTGAGTTTACCGGGAGCTGCAGAGTGGCTCCGCTGCTCTTTCTGTGTCTACACGGTCCGTTAAACGGTGACGTCTCCGTCAGTAACCGGCCACCGACAGTTAGCCCATGAAGCTAACCCCGGAGTTAGCCTCGGTGCTGGTAACGTGCAGGAGACTCGTTCACGACGTCTTGTCGTTGAACCGGAGACTCAGCTGAACGAGCTGCGCGTTCCCGGTTATAACGGAAACGAACGTTAAGAGGCTGAAGCTGCGGGTTCGATCCCCAGCTTCAAAGTGATAAAGATTAGAGACACCTGAAGGTTTCACAGCTGCGACAGGAAGTGAGTCTACGTCATCGGTCGCTGATGTTTTGCAGTCAAACGTGAAAAGAAGAAAATGTAAAAACTTCTGATGATGAAAATGAGAAGAATCGATGATATCTGAGGATCAGTGTCCAACATGGACGCCTCATGTCTGCTGTGTTAACCACGTGAAACGTGTCTGACCGATGAACGTGTGATGTGACGTCTGCAGGGACGAGTCAGGACCAAGACGGTGAAGAAGGCCGCCAGGGTCATCATCGAGAAATACTACACCCGGCTGGGTAACGACTTCCACACCAACAAGAGGGTGTGCGAGGAGATCGCCATCATCCCCAGCAAGAAGCTCCGCAACAAGATCGCTGGGTGAGTGTCAGCGGTTCCATCATTCTCTCCGCCCTGTATCGAAAGTGACCATGGCGTCCTGTGGCCAGGTCATTGATAGTACAGGAAGATGAAGCTGAGAGCCTTTCCCGTGTTTGAAGGACGATCAGTTCCTCTCAGACCCTGATGCTCTCAGACATTTAAATAACATCCAGGGAACATGTGGAGGTAACACATCAGCTCATCTGTGGGATCAGAGTCGATCGCAGGTTTATCAGCTGTGGGGGGGGGGGCACATTACACGAAGAACCCGCAGCCTCTTCCAGGAGAGCAGCTCAGAGGATCGTAACGTTAGTGCGGACGCCTCTTCACGTTGGGATGTGTAAAAAGTTGACGGGAGAATGAGTCATGGTGACGATGAACCGGAGCAGAGTATTGATCCGCTTCATCGTTAACAAAACAAAGACACGCAACACGAGAAGCTTCACAAACTACTTCAAGAAGATGGTAGTTTTAATTCCACTTCTTCTGTATTACTCAGTTCATCTCCACTTAAACCGTGTTCACCTCAGATTTCCACATCATGTCCCAGAGTGGAGGTTAGGATCCAGTGATGTAATCTGATTACTGTAGATGTATAGTTACTGTGTGACGGAGGAGAACGTGAGAGAAGGATGAGGAGGAAACGAGGGTTTAGCGACTGTGATGGTTTCAAGTTTACCTGAGAAGAATCGTTGGAAGTTCTGATCTAGATGTTTCATGAGCTTGTGCTGCTGCTGCAGGTATGTGACACATCTGATGAAGAGGATCCAGAGGGGTCCAGTCAGAGGAATCTCCATCAAACTGCAGGAGGAGGAGAGAGAGAGGAGGGACAACTACGTGCCAGAGGTCAGTGAAGGCATCGCAACGCACACAACTTTGCAGAAACACACACACACACACACACACACACACACACACACACAGGAGACGAGAGGCTGAACGCAGCCTGGACATTAGTTATATTCACATAATTCAAATGTAATGATGATACCAACACATTGTTTTTCACTGGTTTGATGCTCAGCACATTGAGCATGACACACGGGACCTCAGTGAATTCTGAGGCTGAGTCTGTCCTCACGTGTCCTCACGTGTCCTCACGTCTCATCTGGGGTTGAGAACTGAAACTCCCATGTGCTGGGTTCTGCTGTTCTGTGTGTGTGTGTGGTAGCACTTTGAAAATGTGCTCATTGTGTTAAAGCTGCATTCATCACTTTATTAGCTCCGGTATGATCAGAACGTTACGAGGAATTATATCAGTTTATGTTGAACTACATTTTTACCGTGTCACTGAAGTTAGTTTAAAGTTCTTGATGAGCTCCAGAAAGTTTGATGTCTAGGTTTGTTGCTGAGATCTTATTTATCTGAAGTGGAACACGTCTAATGGTTTTCACTGTTGACTCTGGATCATGTTTTCAAAGAGGCAACATTCATTTTGGGTTAAAAGTTAAATTAATCTCAAACCTTTCCAAACATCAGTCACTCTAAAGAACCTCTCATCACTTCAGTGTCGAGTTAGTTTCTGCTGCTTCAGACTTTGATGATATTCAACAGATGTTTTTATCATCTGAACATTTGACCAGGTTTTATATTAGAATCAAAAATATCAGAATTGATGAGATAACGAGGGGAAGTCGTTGAACTTGAATAAAAGACGTCCTGTCGTCTCATGAGAACTTCTGAACATCCTCTTTGAATTCAGCCTCTGTTGGAGGAAGATATTATATTCATGGATGTTTTATCCTTTGACTTGTTCTCACGCGGGCGTCTCCTGTATCGAAAGTGGTCATGGCGTCCCTGTCGCCAGATCATTGATAGTACAGGAATATCAAACTGTGAGCATTTCCCGTGTTTGAAGGATGATCAGTTCCTTTTCAACCCTGACGCTCGCAGACAAAAAGAAACGTGCGTCGGCTGCTTGTTTGTGGTGTCGTGGTTAAATGAACATGTTTTTAATGAGGCAAACACTTGACTGTTCTGATTCAACTGAAGGTTGATGTGAAAATACAGATTTCTTTTACAGTATTTTTACAGCCACAGGTTCATTAATCAAACGTAATGTTTCTAACTTAAAGATGTCTACATTTGAACGGACATATTGTTAATAAGAGAAGGTTTGAATAAAAACGATGTGAGGTGAGAATAAACATCAGTTTTAAACCTGAGTCATCAGTCACATGTCCTGAAGACGTTTTCATTCGGACACAGAGCCCAACACAATCAATCACTGTGTGGCTGCAGAGGGCGCTGTTGCTTTAAGAGAAGAATGTAGAAACGCTAACGTGTGTGTGTGTGTTCACCTGTGCAGGTGTCTGCTCTGGACCAAGAGCTGATTGAAGTTGATCCCGACACCAAGGAGATGCTGAAGCTGCTGGTGAGTGTTTCTAACTTAATCAGATTACAAAGTCACAGTTCAGGAGTGAGCAGCTCTTCATGACCTTGTCGTAAAAACATGTCACTTGATCAAAGTGAAGGTTCGACTGCTCCGCAGACAGAAGCTCAACGACTCTCAGGTAAAGAAGTCGAGCTGCGATCAGGAGCAGCAGCTCGGTCTGAAGCTGCCGAGCAGCCGCACGACTCGTAACGTGTGAAGTTACAGAGCTGAGGGATGTGAACACAGTGGAACCTGAAGATATCAATGATCCTGCAGAACGACCACAGAACGACCACAGCTCCTCACACGCTGTAAAAACATGGAGTTCAAATATAAAAAGCTCATTCGGGGTTTAAGAAGATAACTCGGTACATTTTAGATGAAACACTCATGAAAACATCTCATGGATTAGTTTTTAATCAACCAATAGATTCTTTCACTGAACCTTTAAGTTGTGTCGAGTCGTCGGTGTCGTGTGTGACACAGTGTCGATTCTTTCCGCCCTGTATCGAAAGTGACCATGGCGTCCTGTGGCCAGGTCATTGATAGTACAGGAAGATGAAGCTGAGAGCCTTTCCCGTGTTTGAAGGATGATTCGTTCCTCTCAGACCCTGATGCTCTCAGACACCTGATAAACTCTGGTCCTGTTGGTTTACACCAGGCTTACACACTATTCTCTTCTGTTCTCAGGACTTCGGCAGTTTGTCCAACCTGCAGGTCACCCAGCCGACCGTCGGCATGAACTTCAAGCAGCCTCGAGGAGTCTAGACGTCTGTAAAGTATCTTCTAATAAAACCTTCTGGGACAAAAACACTGTTCACGCCTGGTGATTTAAATGATATTACATATATTAAATATGACATTTATCATAAGACGTTGAAGGTTTCAGTAAATGAGAACTCGACTGGTCATCATGTCATAACCACTGGGTTTGTTGTCTTTCAAGATATTTTGTCTGGAGTCTGAATATTTAAAGTCTACAAAGATCAAATGTTTCATTCACACAGAATCAGCATGTTCACATTAAACTCATTTTAATTAGTAGATTCATATTTTTCTCTTGGTGCCGACAAACTGAGGTTTGATTTAGTTTCAGTTTATTTGTAACTTGTCGATCAATCCGATTTTTCAGAATGAATCAATGAATTTACATAAAACGGGTCAGACGAATTCTCAGTTTGTAAAAAAAAAAAAACATGTAGAATTGAACTGGAAATAAATAATTGAATCTTTTGTGGAGTGAAGTCGAGCAGCTGAGTCTCACATGGAAACAGTCCTGCAGGGGGCGCAACAGAAGAAACTATTCACAGTACACAGAGACGACACGAAAAATAAAAGCCTGTTAACAAGACGTTCAGCAGCTGAAGCCAGATGTGACCATGAGACCTAAAATCCAAGAAACCAGAAATATCCAGATGTTCATTTCACATCGTGAGTCGCTGGAAGAAACGAGAGAAAAGCTTGAATGCATCATGGATTTATTTACATTTGTGTTTCTGTACATTTTAAAATACACAATCATCCGACTGGCTCATAGGCACTTCAGCAGGAAGAAGTTGCAGAAGGCTCCTTGGGGACAGTCGCACATCTTTCCGATGCGAGATCCTTTTCTGACGGCGCAGTGTTCCCCCAGATCGCACTGTGAACGGCAGGAGACACTTTACACATCCACACAACCCGTGCACACGCCCCTGAGGCCGTGCACGCTCCTGAGGCTGT